ACTGACCTCGGGTCATTGGCTTTGTTTCAGGGCCAATGACCCGAGGTCAACTTTCTGCGCATGCGCGCTGATACAACCGTAAACTGGTGTATTCCATTTGACTGTCTTTGACCTATATTATTTTGCGATTATTATGACGTATTTCATTTTCCGAACATGATTTATAGGCGATACAACAGATTATTTATCGAAAGTCTTTGAGACCATCTTCTCATCACCTCTGAGTCCTCAAGCCGTTACGTAACAAAACTAGAAGTATATTTACATTGATGTTTTGTGTTGGTACCGTGTACAACCATGTAATCTTGTTATGTATCATCTATGTCAGGGGACTAATGATTACAAGCTTTTAAAACTTTCTTTTTAGTTTACGATTTCTTCATGATTTCAAGAATTGTAAGATTATGATTGTTTCATGTTACTTTTGTATACATATTTTGTGTGGGTTTATGATTGAAGTAAAGGATGATGAATTGAATTAAAAGGTGACCAAAAATGTATTCCATTTGAATTATACTAGATGTTACAATCACTTAAAGCAATGCGATGTAGAGAGGGAGAGAGAGGAAGAGAAAGAGATAGAGGGCAGGGAGGGAGAGAGGGAGGGAGAGAGGGGAGAGAAATGTGAAAAGCCAAAGCTACACGGAAAAGCGATTGAATGTCAGCTGTAAATACGTGTCTAACGTGAATTGACTTTATAATTTCTTTCTCCACTCCAGAAAACAACCTACGGCTACTACGGGGTGACAGAAGTAGACCGAGGATGTGAGCCCTCTAGCGACTGTCCTGCGTCATGTATTGGAAATGCCTGTTCATACTGCTGCCAAGCTTCACTATGTAACAAAGCAACCATTATGACGTCATTCCCGCTGCTCGCATTTTTTGTGGTTGGTTTCGCAACGCTGAAGAATATTTTCACAGAAAGATTTGTTTAACGTGGCCTTGATGTAGTATATCACTGTCTTCTGATTTACATTGTGGTAGGTTCGCTACGCTGAATGATATCTTGTTTGTCACAGAAAGATAATAAGAATTGAACTTTAAAGGATATTGTAGCTATAGACTGATGTTGAATATGCCTAGATCAATATTGTACTTGTAAAGTATTATTGTGTAGTGCGGGTGAATCATCTGATTCATAACAGATCGTTGTGAAATTTCCATATATCTTTTAAAGAATTAAATAGATTATTTATGTAGCACAGTGTTATAGCTGTTTATTTTACTCTGTTTTGTGCGACGGTATTGATTTCAAATCATGCTTATCAAAGATTCCTTAATTTGAGGTTCGTCATATGGTAGTGGCAAATAGAACAGCATTCGCAATTCGAAAATCAGCAGTGTTCATTATAATAAGAAGAAAACAAAAAACATCATAGTTCAAATCAAAATAACCAATGCTTAGCCTATTTTTTTCTCGGAAATATTGCGTAAATGGTTCGTTTTGGGAAATAGTGAAGGTCTTGAAGCCATGGAAATGAAGATGAAGTAATTGCTGAATATCACACAAAAGTGAAAGAAGTTGTAGATAATATTTGTCATGTAGCATCAGTCATGTCTGTTGTGTCTCTCAATACAGAATGTCGTAAAATGGGTTTCTGATAAGATTTATTTCATAGGACTTCTAATTTTCTAAATGTTATTGAACACGACAGCAAGAGATAATCCAAGAGCAATAATACTTTACAATGTACTTTGAATAGTTTGAGGCACTTAGGATTTATCAATATCAGAGACCCGTACAACAAAAGTTTGCAACCATTTGCAAAATGACGATGGATTATCAAAATCATCGTTGCATGCACATGTTGTTCAAAAGGCTGATCATTAGCGAATCAGAATCGTCGTTTTAAGTATGAATTTGATCGCAGAACTTTGTGTTGCTGGGCCGATATAAGAGTGTTAGTGGATATATTGTTGGTTTATTGGTTATTGATGGTTTGTTTATTACTTTACTCGATTCTAAGAAAGCATGTACATATATATATATATATATATATATATATGCATGTAAGTAAGCAGAAAGGAAACCGACGGTTTTAAGTCCTCTCCGAGGGACTTGGTAATGAATAATGAATGCCTTACCAAAGGGCACGAGCGCATTGACTTGGTTCCGAACCCGAGACCTCTCAGTTACACGTCCACTGCTCTACCACTGAGCCATCGCGCCTCCTTGTTCGAGACAACAACATTGGCAAAAAGGGTTTGTTCATCTGAAATAATTTTTGCATATTATTAAGAATTGAAATTAAAATTGATGAATATAGGGGCTGTAAATGTATTTTAATCTCTCAAGATTTTTGTTTATCCGTTTTACGTTTTATATGCCAAGTTGTAGGAAATCAGGGTCATTATTCAAGGAAAGTGCCAGTATTGTGTTAGTTTCATCATTCCCCTCCTCTACACAAATGCTATGGCACTGCGGCTCTTTTTATTTGCATGTTCATCCATTTCACATAATATTCATTTTGCCACATTTTTTTAAAAAAAATCATTAAAAAAAAAATCAGTGTAATGCATGAATTCTATAGCATTTTCTTCCAAAAATTAAAAATAATAATAATTGTTCATTAAAAGTGTAACCAGGCATTTGCTTCCCCCATGTTTTACCAAAGAAATTACTAAAGCTTATTTACACTAGAAAAAAAAAGACTTCTTAATGTGATACGCCTTCTACTCTTGTGGAACCGTCGAATGTGTATTTTTATTTTTCTCTTGCCAATGGACGAATGCTAAAAGTACTACATTTTGAATATTAAAATATATGCTATGAATTAATGAATAAATTGGTTTGAAAAGTCGATTTGTGATTGTATATTATTCTTTCTTCGTTCTACCAGTCGATACTAATTCGAATAAATACATGTACTATCAACATGATAACATAAATTCATTCATTTCAAAAGCTTTCCTTTATCAGGCTTATTTCGCTGGTCGACTGTAAATAATATATTACATACAGATTTCAGTCGTCCCCTTTCTCGTTTTTCCTTGGAGTTAAGACGATTTCTGTCAATGCACAATTGCCTGATTTTAGCTCATGTAGTCAGAGGGAAACTTTTGCAAAGAGTAGCTTTTAAGATTATTCAGGATAGAAGCTTGAATAGTTTAAAGAGAAGGTTGAGTTCTGGGAAGAGGTGAAAAATAATTTGTGAGCATTACTCATTCTTATTATGCAAGTGTGGAAGAACATCAGTTAAGACATGTTCCCTGAAAAGCATGGCTCTTCAAATGCCTTCATATTCTAAATATGCATGTAACATCGTAAAAATCGGGGGGCCGGCTTTTTACGCCACGTGTTCGTGTAGTCCCATATACATCTTTCTGTGCAAGTGTTTGTAACTTTACCAAGACTTGGCCAAATTTCTTATCATTTTGATGATTCCAGAACCTTGCAATACACACATGCTAGATGATCAACCTTTTCTGGTCGGTTCCACACCGTTACTTTCACAATGCAATCGCATGACCAGAACTCAACTTCATCTTTGAGTACTCGAAGAATGTTTGCAGCAAGATTAAAAAAGAAACAATTTTCAATCTCCTAAAAGGGACTCTATATCAGTCAATAAAGCTGCTTACTAAATTCATGCGAACATCTGACGCACAATATTTTCTGGACAACTACAAAATTTGCAGGATGGTTCCTCGACAATGCAACAGTTAAAACATGTTAAGTAGATTCCATTCAATATATGCACTCTTATAAAAACAACCATTGTGCATAACATTTTCCAGGTAGATAACAGACCAGAGATAAATAGTTACGTCACCGAATTTTTGCTTCGGATTGGTCAGACATTTCATGAAGGTCCAAAATAGTTCCTTGCCTTAGAGATTGAACGTGAGAGGCAACTATTTTGGAGCAACATACTTTAACCTATTACACAACTATCTCTCTCAATACTTTAGTTCATTTTCGTAATAACGCCATCTACGACGAGGAGACCGGGCTAATTCGGCAGGATGTGGACTCGACCGAGAACAATAAGTCAGTTCGTAAATACTGTCTGCGCATGGGCAGATAAAGGTCATGTTCCCAAATTTCAAAACCCATCGAGACGAAGACTGGTATCGTGCTCATGAAAGTTATAAATCAGTATTTATTTATACACCAACAGTACATTTATCTGATACACATGCAGGTGGAAGTATTCTTTTCAAGAGGCAAACAAAAGGTATCCATTAAGCACCTCCATCACTTTGGCAGTGTTAATTCTGAAATGCATAAGTGGGACGTATCCATCGTGTAAAAGATCTGTGGATATTTGGGGGTCAAGCGTTCCGAAGCTATTTACTAACTGGCTTATTAAGCTAAATCGGTCTAAAACACTCTTGACATTGTGCTTTAACTATATGTATCAGATAAGTCGAATTCAAGATTATTAAAATAGTTAAGAACTAGGAAACTTCAAGAGATGAAATTCCACAAAACTTGAAAAAGAACGATGTGTATAAAATGCACTTCGGCCCTGGAAACTTCATCGCCGTCTGATGCCGAGTTCGCCCTAATAATGCCGATTTAGCTCGACCACTTGTTATTTTATTTCCACAACATATGGCTGCAATTCGGCTGATGTTAAGTATAAAAATAATGTGATAAACACTTCAGCACGATGGTTATCAGCAAATGTTTGTACTAGACGCGCACCTATGGACTGACTCACTGTGTACTTTAAGCTGCTCCAACTCAAATTAGTTCCCTGACTCACCCTCTGTATTATTAGTATGGGGTAGGGAATGGCTTCGGAGCCAGCGAAATCCAGACTTTGAACTCCAACTAGAAGATGGCGGGCGAGCTATGATGGCGCATTGCATTGTGGGTGCATGTTTATAAGGATGGTGCAGTACAGGAGGATTCAGGAGTCGATAATAGGGACTTTTAGATTTGCACGTCGACATAGTGGACTGCTACGTGAGATGTCCATAAAGGCACTGGCAGTGCCTTAAAATGACGTCACGGTGCCTTAAAAGGAGGTCACACGTAGTAGTCCACTATGTCGACGTGCAAATATGAAAGTCCCTAGTCAAGAGGTGTCTTGGTCAGGGGTTCGTTCACTTGATTCTCAATCCAAGGGTTGACGGTTCGAATCCCCGGCCCCCCCACTCAGGTTTCAAAATGACCGCATGCGTGTTGCCAAAATGTCCTTTTCGTAACAAAAGAAAAAGGTCGAGCCGTATTGACTTTACACACCGGACTTTTGCTGAAAAGGGGGGGATGCTGAAAAAGGCTCGTATACAAAAGAAAAAGGTCGAGCCGTATTGACTTTACACACCGGACTTTTGCTAAAAAAGGGGGGTCGGTTGGAACACGCATATGCGTACCCTAAATAACACTGAGTGGGGGGGCCGGGGCACTACTACACCGGTTTATACTAATATATTCAGATGTATGGATGTTTCTTTCCTGGGGATCGAATGATGAGCTATTCCGTTAACCTGTTATTGATGAATGAACTAAAATACTTTGAATCCAGTCTGCATACATTAATTGTTGCTATGTCGGTCAAGCCTCGGGCAAACATTTAGGTTGTCAAGAACCACCTTAGTTTAAAAAGGATGCATACAATTTGAATATGTTAGGAAAGTGTCTATAATTATTATTGGAAAGAAATCAATCCAAATTCGCCACTAGGTATAAATAGGTACCTAGCAATTGCTAGGGCAATGGCCTAATAATTGCAGGGCCATCAGGAATATGATGAGCATAGATGCTAATGAGGTTATATTTAAATTAGTTTTCGCTCGCGTTGGTGTGATTATTATTATCGTTTTTTTCTTCGCAAAAATATTAATCTTATAACTTGATACTTCTTGGGACCATCAGCCTATAAGCCTCAATAGGCTTTTAATGATGGCCCTTTGTTCTTCTATTTTAACTAGAAATGCTTTGTTTATGTTTTTATGGTTTGCATGTGTTTTTTTTTTAACGAAAAAGGAATAGAGAATGAATGAACTTGAAACATTATGACAAGACTTAGCACATTAAACATAAGCAGTGTTGCAAAAAACAAGTCACGTATGTTTGTTTTCTTCTTCATACTTCAAGACACATAATAATGGGATTACTCATTGTTTTCCGATTACATCAAAGGAATCAAATTCAAATAGATATGAAACCGAAAACTATTTTTGGCAGCACATCTGCCCGCCCGGGCGCTCCTCGGGGTCATAGCAGGATGCAACTTCCCCTTGAGGCTATAAAAACAGCTGGGCCTCTCATAGCAGTCGATATATCTATACTATCACTATGACGGTCAAGAAATGTAATCTACCATCCGTCATGTAACCTCATTTAGACCAATCGTGTTGCAGGATTATCAGTGTATGAGATATATTAAACAGAGATTGAACAATCTGCTAAAACAGAAATTAATGATGAGCAATTATTGCATTTTACTGTATACGTTGTCAGGTTCTCTCTCTTACTCTCCATCCCTTTATTTCATATTTTTAAAAACTTTAATTTTTGTTTTGGCTTGTTTTGTAGTACCTCGGGGCATATTTATATAATTTATCTTCGCATTTTACGGCAAGAAGAACAACTATCATTCGTCTCCCGATATACAAACGAACCGGTACGGAAAGACCGCAACGGCTTTAGAAAACATTAGGGACTTTTAGATTGAGTGGACGAGAATAAGCCAGTTCACGGTTGCAGTCTGAGCATGAGCAGATCAAGGTCATTGCAGAACAAATTTTGAAATACACGGAGACGGAATACTGGATACGTGCTCATGAGAGTTATGTAATCGTTATTCATGATACACAGGTGGAAGTATTCTTTGAAAAGGGGAAACAAAGACTAGCACCTCCATCGCTGTAGGAGTGATTATTCCAAAATGTAAAAAGTGGGACCTCTTCATGTTTTGAAGATCTGTGGATATTCGGGGTCATTGCAGTAATGTGCTAACCGTGAACTGGTCTATACGACGAACGCCGACTGATCATGCGTGTCAACGTACTTAACTGCCCATGTTGGCTACAATTAGAAATCTTTTAGATTGCACTCGACGATATGCATGCAGGAAGTAACACAATAAACCTCACGGACAAAGAAAGAGGACAAAATATACAGTTCCTCATTCTACCCTCAACAAAAGAACATCCCTTCACTGCTAATATGTAAATATGTGTAGAACAGGTGAATATGCATGTGACACCTGCACACCTGTTCTACACATTTTTACATAATAACAGGAAAAGGGATGATCCTTGGTCTACCTGAGGAACTGTATATTTTATGCGCACGCGGCATACTAGTACCTTTCAGCATGTAAAGGCGCTATATAAATGTCAATATGTATGCATGTACTAGATTTAGGAAAATCAAGGTTGACGCATTCTCGATCGCCGACTGAGACGACATAACACATGCGCAGTGCCTTAAAATGACGTCACACGTTGCAGTCAAAGCTGTCGACGTGCAAATCTAAAAGTCCCTAATGTTTGCCAAGGCGGGGAGCATGACGTTACTTATTAACACGACCTCTCAACACGATTCTCCATTCCCGGAATACAACCGTCATACGTAGTGCTGCATCCGTACGTCATAGAGTATCTTTGAACTAGCACCTAGTACAGCTTTGACCGGTAATGCTCAATAGCCGATGTCTATAAACACATCTAACCATTTCATATTATTCTTGAAAAGGCAGTCTTTATCGTGGAAATTACCGCAACATCTTGGACTACATAACAACGCCTGACTAAATGTGGTAAGTTTTTTTTTTTATATAAGGTTTCAGTTTTATAAAGGCAAGGCGATGCGATTAAACACCAATATTTCCAACTTAAATTAAAGTACAATCCGCTGTGTCTTTTCAAATGCTTTTATACGTTTCTGTCAACATTCTCACACAAGGGTATATTTTCTCTTGTTTATATTTCTATGATTATATTCATTGTTATCACTATTCTTTGTTAAGTTCAATGTCGTTCCCTTTTTCAAATATAATATTGTTTCAATCGAACATCTGCAGGTTATTCTTAAACCCGGCTTAAAACATATATCAATGTTCTAGTAAAGAGACAAACACTTTTGTAATATTCGCATTCGAGATAAACTTAGTGGTCGTCACAATAATTCATGTTACACTTTCAGATCAGTTGATTAAGTAAATTACGTTGGCATTTATTTGTTATTATATTTATTCACATCGGCCCAGAATTACTCAACATTGAAATAGGAGAAGCAATTCATATTGTGATCAAATAGGCTCTCTTATATACCTAGTACTACATGTGTTGAATCGTGTAATATGTATTTCATTATTTTCGTCGTATTTATAGTTTAAAGTTCCTTGTTTTGATGAAAATAATGAAGATTGTTTCATTATCATTATTATCATTATTGTTATCATCATCAGCTTCATTATCTTCATCATCATTATAAACATTATTACTATTTAAAGTGGTAGTAATAGCAGCAGCAGTAGTAATAGTAGTAGTAGTAGTAGTAGTAATAGTACATGTAATACTCTTGTTATAATTATCATTATCATCATCACTCATTCATATCATAAATCTGTCCTAATCCTCCTTTACAACTATCTTTAAACTGATATCTTTTCATCGATAAGGATAAGCTGTTGCCGTTCACTTTTTATTTTTGCCTCTATTTAAACTATAAAAACATGGTCTTAGGCATTGCAAATAATAATTAATTCATGGTCATTGTATTTCTTCACAGATACCCAACGATAATGGATATAGTGTAGTTTATTCATACCTTAACAGTCTGGCATAACATATGAACAAGAAAACAAGAAAACCGAGCTTTTTAAAGCCACCAAATATAATAAATAAATAATGTCATATAAAGGTAAACTTAAGGATTTAAAATAAGAACCGTCTGGCCTTTAACTTTCACAATTGACTTTAGATTATATGTATTTGACCAAAACCAAGAATGGCGAATCTGTGAAAACTCTTGACTTGATCATTATCATTATAGTTATTTTTCATTATCATTATTATTATGATTTGTTTATTCGAAGAACTTGAGCAACGTTCGGGGATATAGAAGAAAAATAGTAAAATACTGAATGTGAATATCAAAAGGTTTGTTTATTTTAGAAACAGATCTGTACACATTTATTTTCCTAACAAACTGTTTGTAAAATATGTTCTTTGATCACATGTTCATATATTCACATGCGTTAATCCAATAGTAATAACATATGAAGTCACGTAGTACAGAATTCTCTGTTAATTTCTAGGACCCGAATCTTCAATTCTTCTGAAAATTAAAGGAGAATCATAAGTCTTATTAAACTGACTATACGATTAAAGGTTTTAAGAAAATTGACTTCTGCAAATAAATGAGGACTCACATATTTTCACCAATCAGTTTGTTTGTAGATGATGCCAAACATGCGCGAGCAGCCAAAAGTAATTTGTATTCGACTCAAAACTTACATCCATTAGACTTGAATTTAAAGTATTTATAGTCTTGTTTAAAATCAAAGTTTTGCACCCGGTTCAGAATCCTTTGGGCTATTAAAATCCTTTTGACTTAAAAATAAGTCTTAGAAATAAAGAGTAGAATTATGTAATGAAAATAACACAGTAATGTAAATATTATATTGCGAAAAAAATATCAAAGGAAAAGGTGTATTCAGTTTTTCGTTTTACATGAAAAATAAGGTACAAGTTAGTATATGGCAATATAAAAGACTCCAATATACATTTTAAGTTTGCGACTAATATGACGAATACTGTGACTGATATTCATTTGACATACAGGAACAAAACCCTGGCTCGTACAACCTGAATTGATACTGATTTCCATGAAATAATAAACTAATTATCTGGTCTTATTTGCCCAAGGTAGCCATGCCAGCATTTGAACGGCTCTTCTTGCGGGCCCTGCAATAATAATAATAATAATAATAATACTCAGTTCTTTTATAGCGCATAACACATTACAGGATAGCATGTCCCTATGCGCTTCAAATAGAAAGGAAAGAATTACAAGAACAAGTCATACACACAAGAAAATCCACTTAGAAGCAAAGAAGTACATGTAGTGTTGGACGCTGAGTTCATGAGTGTACAATTTTAACATTGAATAAATACGTTTTAAGAGAAACCTTAAACTTATTGTGATTTCTCATGGAATCTGGAAGTGAATTCCATAAAACTGAGGAGGCGTGCATAAAAGAACGTTCACCGTATGTTTTTGTTGAGGTGGGAGGAACAATAAATGATGATTTTGAGCTTGATCTTAAAGTACGAGTAGGCCGATATAATGATAAAAGTTCACATAAATAAGAAGGGGCAATGTCATGAAAGCATTCGTATGCAAAAACTAATAGTTTAAACAAAATACGGGAGTGGACAGGAAGCTAATGCAGATTTCGTAGTACAGGAGTAATTGATTCGTATAATGAGCCTATCTTTGCTAGGTACCCATTTACACCGCGTTGAATGGGACAAATGTGGATAAAAAACGATAATGATTTAATAACATTTATTATAGAAATAACGTTGAAAGTATGTATATTTTTAAAAGTTCTTTGAATCAATAACGGAATCAATAACGTCATTTGGGTAATGAGGGATACAATATGTTATCAATTTAAATCAGTCAATTTATATGAACAGCACATTAGCCCATGAGTTAAATATGCTGTCCTTTTAACCTTTTTCTTCTTCTCCAAAAACCATATTGTTGTTTTATTTTTAACGGCGCGTATCATTCGATCGTAATTATTAACGCCAAATTGTATTCGCATTAAGAAATAATCTACACTGCATTATTAATGCACTATTGGTATTTTGCTAGACTTTCCTAAAGTCTTTGCGAAGCGGCGACATTCTTCAATTTACATTTTACTTGAACATCAAAACGTTTCCTTTAGATATAGAATTAGGTAATGCATTGAGTATAATTACATTGCAAAATACACCTTGGGATAGGCATATAGTGATTTACATGGGAAGGAATACCCGTGTATAATATTTAAGGTCGAAATACTGAATGAATACGGCGGTGAATCAACACACGTTTAGCGTCTACCTGGTTAACCATTAACTAATAAACAAACATTTTGGGAGCTGGTATGTCGATGTCGTTCATTTGGGTTATAAAGTCGGGTAATCTGTGTGGCTATGATATATGTTTTGATATGTGTGGCCAGATATGACACATATATTTTAATATTTGTTTTTTGTCTGTACTTATATCCTACTTCATGGTGTTTTCATTTTTGGAACTCGTCCTCAATGACTTAAAATGGAAATCAATATAAGGGAGAAGTTTGATTGCATGTATCGATTTATCTTCAAATACTCTTGTCACTCTTTGGCAGATAGAATAATTTAACTGAGGAATTACGAATGTATATGAACTGCAGTTTTGATAGGCTATTTGTATACACTTTTATCACATTTAATGTTTCAGCTGTGATACTTTGATCTGCCCTTGTATACATCCTAAGCATAATACTATCATAAGGTGATCAGACACTAACATAATCTGAATTTAATGGATTATTTTTATCGTTTCTACAAGGCCATTTTGAATATGACATCTTCATAATATAACAAAATTGAATGAACAAACCTTTAAATGCTTCCTTACAAGTTATTTCATAGTAGTTAGGTAGAACAAGCAATAATGCATGTCTTACCTAGAAAAAGTTAAATTATGCAAATTGAATTCTGACTATTGATATACAGTTATGATGAAATTTTAATGAAATGAAATAATTTGTAGCAATGTACTTAAAAAAAGATTTTTGAATTAAATTTGATTACATTACAAAGATAATCTATTGGTTTGGTTTGTATTTCTTTATACATTTTTCTTGTACAGAAGGGGAGCTTTCCAGATATCACAATGAAGTACCTGATAATTGCAGCTGTATTATGCATCTTTATTGGTATGTATCACTTGGCTGTGTATTATTTAATAAATGTCTTAGTTATTTGTTTTATTTACATGATTTCAAAGTTCTAACCTTTAAAGTTTGCTAGTGCTACAAAGTGTTTACAATTTTAGAAATAATGTAAAGGCCTCATGTCTTCCCTAATATGATGGTTGTTTCTAGAAACTAGTTTACCAACCTTGACAGTTCTTTGTATCCAATAATAAACACACTAAGAAAAATTGAACAAAACGTTTCGTATACGGAATATATAGGTTTTTTATGTGATGAAGTATGCAACCATTTAGAATCCCCAACGGTTCCAACATTGTACATTTATCTGATACAAAGGAGAAGAAGAATATACTTCTATATTCACATTCACCTACGAACTTACTCCAGTTATAATGAACTACATCATTCCCATTGTGATCTTAGAAAAGAAAAAGGGAAACTAATCGCGGCAGGCGGTTTGTTTTTCTTTGGGGGGGGGGGGGGTGTAGAGATAATTATCCACATGAGTCAAGAGGGGTTAAAAATAACATATTCGCTTATTATTTTGATGATTGCTTGCTCTACAAATCATCATGCCTCCATCCGGTTACATGAAACGCCCTGATGTACGACTAAATATATGAATGTCATGATGATTTCAGGTGTATCTGACGCTCTATGGTGTTACAAGTGTTCCATCAGTTAACATGAAATGCCCTAATGTACAACTAAATATATGAATGTCATGATGATTTCAGGTGTATCTGACGCTCTATGGTATTACAAGTGTTCCGACTAAATATATGAATGTCATGATGATTTCAGGTGTATCTGACGCCCTCTGGTGTTACAAGTGTTCCGGGTCTGGATGCGAGACACCAGACACAACCGTAGAAGGTGTTTACATCACGGAATGTGACGACTACACCTCTCTTTGTTTCGTAAGTATGACGTTATAACCCGTACATGAAAAATACTTTAAAAATAGTTGTGGATATAGCCCCCCCCCCCCCTCCCCCCCCCCCCCCCCCCCCCCCCCCCCCCCCCCCCCGTTGATGATCCAGTTATATCCCCGTCACACCGCCATATGATTCCAAGTGGGCCGATTTCGGTCTGTTATCGGTCAGGGCCTTGTTTCACAGAACTATTTATCAATCACAAGTTCTTGAAACATAAGTTTTGAGGTTGCTTTTGAAAGATTCTACTGAAGGAATCTATCTGATCCCTCGAGTTAAACAATTCCAGAGCGATGGCCCGGCATGAGCGAAAGGCTGTCTCCCCCCCCCCCCCACACACTTTGTATTAAGCTTGGGAAGAACAAGCAATCAAGATATCGCAGGTGTATAGTGATTAATCAAAGAAATATTGCACTGTAGAGCAGAGCCATGACCACAATGAAACAATAGCAAACGAAGTTTAAAGATATAAATGTATTGTATAAAGCTAGTCGTTTGTATGAATGACGCCCCACCAGAAAGTTGTAAAATGTTGTTGGAATCCTTTAAAATTGTGGTTTGGTAATGGCGAACAGAGAAAAATACATAATTTCATTACATCATATTGTCAAATAGGTTGCTAAAGTCATTATTTCTCAAAGTTTAAAAAGTATGAACATAGGTGACGAAAGTATGATCTAAATTTTCAACTGTTTTGTTTCCCTTTGTGAGAATCGTTGTCGCTGGTAAATGAAGTTAAAGGTAAAGACCAGTATTGGAAACGCCCCAATTTCAAAAAATGAAATGGAAGCTCTCATTACCAATCATGTGAAAGAATATGTTTTGACTAATACATGATGATAAAAAAAATTGCCGGGAAACCGCCTACTAATTCATATATTTGGTAAATTTGTTTCTCTCATGGTCTGTGAGAGATATAGGGTAGTCCCATATACATCTTTATGTGTATAGTGCTTGTAGCTTTACGAAGAATGGGCCAAATTTCTTATCATTTTGATGATTCCAGGACCTTGCAGATGCTAGATGCTAGATGATCAACCTTTTCTGATCGATTCCACAACGTTTATTTCACAATGCAATCGCATGACCATAACTGGTCTTTACCTTTAACATGACGTAACTAAATATCAATGGCATTGAACTAATGATTTCATTGTAAATGTTTTCCTCCCTCTCTCCAAATTCTTCTCTCCTTCTTGCCTCATTGTGAAACAAACATGAAAACAAATCAAAATTATCTGCCGTCAATATGCTTAATTTTTGTTTCTTCACTTTAAAAATATTTTGATGTATTCTTTCCGTTGCTCTGCTCTTTTCCTTTTCGGTAAGAATTGCGTTGCTCTGCATTTTGTTAAATTCATTATTAATTAATTTGGTCTGCAATATTTTCCATAACATGAAGCTATCTGCCAATTTCTTTCTTGTCCATCCTGTTGTCTTTATATGCTAAATGTCTTCTCCATAAACTGAACAAAAATGGTTGAATTTTCCCCATTATTCTTATTATTTTGTTTGAAATTTCAAATGAACCTTGACTCACGCTGAAAATATCAATTTGATATAAACAAATATATATCATGCCTTTGGGGGGCTTCGTCCAATATTCATGTCATATACTCGACCCTAAAAAAATCGGTCCCTCTTCATATCTCGGCTTTTTTTCTCCCGACTAAATTCGGCCCTTTCCCGACTCGTCCCACTCTCACGTCAAAATCGATCCAATGCAGAGACAAGTGATGCAAATCGAGGGGTCAACAATATATGCACGTGGCTGTACCCAAAGAAAGAACGAATGTCAGAACTTATGCTATAATGGGGAAAATTACGAGATCTGTGAATCATGCTGTTTCGCAAACCTGTGTAATAGCGCAAGACCCCTGACCCCAAATGCGGCCCCCGTTGTCTTTTCCATCATCATGGCTTTAATCGCTCGATACTTAATGTAGAGTATGTCCTTAGTGCCTTTCAATTATAATCCTTCTGCTTTAATTGTGAATGTCTTCAAACCTTGCACTTTTCCATTTTCGGTATCGTTTCCCAACGAATGCCTGATGGACTCCATTTAGAAAGCTTTAAATCATGAAAAAATAAAATAGGCTGCATAATATGTTGGTTGCTAGTGCCACACACAAACAAACAGAAGTTTCGAGAAGAAAAAAAATCGCATGTGCTTCATTTATTTCTTTTTTCTCTTTCCTTTTATCCACTCATCGATTGTAATCACAATATTATCGGCTTTCATACCCTTCGACACCATATCAAACCATGCTCCATGCATGTATAATACCTTCCTCCCCCAACTTCCCCTCTCTTTCTCTTTCTCTCTCTCTCTCTCTTTCTGTCTTTCTTCCTCTCTCTCTCTTACCCTTATATCCATTGTCAAACCATTGTACATGGTGATGTCGTGACCGCATTCAAATTAACCCTTCTATTACCGTACACAAAATTTTCCGAACACCTCTCTCATTCCTCTTCTGCGACTTACACCCAAATATGGGATCCACCGCACACCCTCTCCTCCTAAAATCATCACACATTAACTACACAACTAACCCCACTACCATCTGATATCACCAACACCACCACCCTCACCACCCTCACCACCACCAACTCTACCACCATCATAAAAATCACTACCACACCACTCCCTCTATTAACGAATGTCACCAACAACACCATCATCATCAACTGCAACAACAACCTTACCAACGCTACCATCACTACCAACGACATCGACATCATCACCATCATCACTACCACAACCGCTCCACCAACTCCTACAACAAAAAAACACCACCACCCCCGTCATCATCAACACCACATCCCCGGCCATCCTACTTATATTGCACCAAGCAGAAACAAACGATCACGCACTATGGGGAGTCCATGTACGCCCGGGGCTGCACGTCCCGCAAGTCAGACTGCCAACCCGGGTGCCAAGGTGAGCCAGATAATCAACTCTGTGAGTCCTGCTGCTTCTCGAACCTCTGCAACAGATCAGCTACGGTGCATGTCAACCTCGTTCTCCTTGTTACGACGTTCCTGATTGGCGCACTGTTATTACGCTGTTGATGGAGACAGTAGAGCGCCGCCTCTGATTGGACCAAAGAATCTTTCAAACATCTCTTTCTTTTCATTTTGTATTGTTGCGATGGTTAATTATGGCAAAGTAGTCGTCCTCAAGATTTAATCAAATGGAGTCACATGAATTCAACAAATCAAAATATCCGGCAAATGAGTTAAAGTGTATGCGAAGTAGTCAACAAACAGTTATGTTCGTAAACGTAAAGCCAATTTCCATGATCATTATGATTCAATCGATATTGAAACAAAGACATGAATATAAAATCAATTTCAAGAAAGTGCGTTAAGATCTTAGAGACGCATAGAAGTGGATTTTCATGGGGAATTTTCACCATTCGGATATTTACCCAATAACCGGTGTTGTCACCAAGATGGGACTTCACCTTTACGATCGACAGGTCTTATTTAAAAATGCATAATGCTCTATCCTAACACCGTAAGGAATCCTCGTCATATACATCAAATTTCCCCTCACCCTCCAGATACGTACAGGCAGTTGGGGCTATTTTCTAGTTGGACCAGGGGTTCGCTGCTTCAAAGTCCTATTGCACACACATACACATAAATAGGAAATTCGACCAAATCTAGTGGCAGCGAATTATGATGCAATACACATAGACGGTGACTACTATTATATGGCTTTAAGAAAATCAAGACGAAATCGCAAGTTGTAGCGTAACGCACTTTACTCTTAAAAACAGGAACAATGCAAGTGTTTCCATTTAGACCTTTAGCCATTGCTATTCTGTACAATGAAATATTTCAAATGCCTTTAGTCTATTCTGATGTATCATATTTCTGGGGCCCGTTTCATAAAACTTGTTATCTATAACAACTGCTAAATTTCTATGACAAATTTGCTCTCAGCCAATCAGATGCCATAATTTCAGTAGCTTATAACAGTAGCTTGTAACTTGTTATTGATAACAATTTTTATGAAACAGTTCCCTGGTGTTGTTATGTTGTTCATTTTGTTATCGAAAGAATATGAAGTAGAATGTTATTTGCCAAGTATTTAAATAATCAGCGCGTTTAATGAAAGTCTTTCGATATTTGCTATTGACAGGCATTGAATAATGACGTCATATTCTGTGTGATATTTTTATAAAGCAATACTAAATAGCTAGGAAATATAGGACTACAATTTAAAGTGTTCTGAGTAAGATGAAATGTACATACCTTACGTGCTACATGATTACTGAAAACTGGCATGGATTCCTTTTTTTTTAAATACAATGATGCAATAAATAGTCGTAATTTAGAATTAATAAGTCTTGTCACTCTTGTGTCTTGGGAAACTTACATCAAGAAAACATTATCAAAATGGCATAAGACCTTGCCAATACTTTAACCGCAGCGTTTGTAGATTGTGTTGATAATAATTTTGTTTAGTAATTGTTAAAAAGCAGTAGATTGTAGAATTCTGAATTTTTGCTTTACATATTTTGCTAAGACTATGATTTCCTTTCCCATCAAGCATTTGTTTGTTTGTTTGTTTCAAGTTCAATGTTTAACAACGTTTCCAAATTGATAACAAGAAAGCGTAGAAATAGTTGTTTTACTGCACTCTTGTATATTCGAATGAAGAGTATCATCAATGTTTCATAAGGTAAAAGAATTTATCATACATAGGTGTATGAATTTAAACTTTGTATGAAAATGTAATTTGAATAATTTTTTTGGAAAATTATCTTTGTAATAAACCTGCTTTCATTATCTTTTTTTACAATGATGTAACCAAAAGAGTACTTGACAATTTTAGTAATAAATACTTTGTATATAATGTTATACCTCCATTGAGTCATTTTTTGGTAACAGTCATCATGCGGAGGAGTTTAGAGAGCTGCTAGTGATGATGGTAGCATAAATCTGCTAATCTAAAGTTGTGTTCATGATGGGATGGTTGACCATATTTAGTTTGTTTTGTTGGTTATGTGGGTGTGTGAGGGTGTGCGTTGTGTGTGCGTGTGTTCTGTGCAATGAAGTTCGGTAGATTAACAATCATTGATTCATTTATTAATTGATTTATTCGTTGGTTAGTTGCTTGATTGATCGATGATTCATTGATGATTGGTTGATAGATTGATCGGTTGATAGATTGATTGATTGATTGAATGATTAGTTGAATGATTGATTGATTAGTTGATTGGTTGATTGATTAGTTGATTTATTGGTTGATTAGTTGATTGATTGATTAAATGATTGGTTGATAGATTGATCGGTTGATAGATTGATTGATTGATTGAATGATTAGTTGAATGATTGATTGATTAGTTGATTGGTTGATTGATTAGTTGATTTATTGGTTGATTAGTTGATTGATTGATTGAATGATTGGTTGATAGATTGATTGGTTGATAGATTGATTGATTGATTGATTGGTTGATTGGTTGATTAGTTGATTGATTGATTGAATGATTAGTTGAATGATTGATTGATTAGTTGATTGGTTGATTGATTAGTTGATTTATTGGTTGATTAGTTGATTGATTGATTAAATGATTAGTTGATTGATTGATTGATTGATTGCTTGGTTGATTGATTGGTTGATTGAATTATTGATTAATTGATTGATTAATTGGTTGATTGATTGATTGGTTGATAGATTGATTGATTGGTTGGTTGATTGATTGATTGATGGGTTGGTTGATTGATTGATTAGTTGATTGATTGATTGGTTGATTGATTGATTAGTTGATTGATTGATTAGTTGATTGATTGCTTGGTTGATTGATTGGTTGATTGAATTATTGATTAATTGGTTGATTGATTGATTGATTGATTGGTTGATTGATTGATTGATGGGTTGGTTGATTGATTGATTGATTGATAGATTGATTGATTGGTTGGTTGATTGATTGATTGATTGATTGAATTTTTGATTTGTTGGTTGATTGGGAAATTTAATTGATTTGTGGTTATTACTTTCTTCAATGGTTGACCGTTGAGTGAGCGACTGAGCTAAGCCACCCTGAGTGTGTGTTAGTACAATTACATGTTTTATATTGATTGGTTGTTTTGGGGTGTTTTAATATTTTGTTTGCTTTCTTTATTGTTTGCTTGTTTTTCCCTATTATCTGATATACTTGAAGTCATTCCAAGTGAGATGAAGAAATTCTTTACGTATGACTTTTACAATGATTTTTAAAGTAATAGACTGCTTTATAACTTGCAAAATGTTCACTATTGAAAGGAGCGGTCTAAATTGACAACACTATTTATATGAATGTTCTAAATCATCAAAGTTATAGATAAATAACTTAAGATATAATAGACAAGACAACTGGAATATGCTGTTTCAGCTTGCAACATTTCACCTCCACCCCGTTGCAAGCTAAACAGTAAGTCCAGATTAATCTTTAAAGTTATCTTACAGCAGTATTGCATTTTTGTTATTTGATAATTGAAACTGGGTAGGCCTAGTTGGTTAGCTGGGTCTATTTCTACAATAGGCCTATACAAAATGAGACAGACTATACATACATTATGACATTGACAAAATATATAAACAATTCTATAATTCAATGAAGGCTGGATTGCTTTGTTTATTGTTTCCTTGTTTCTCCCTTTTATCTGAAGGTATACTTCAAGACAAATATTATAAATTATTAAGAAATATGTTGAAAAGTCATTCCAAGTGAGATGAAAAGATTCATTACAGATGAAGTAAAGAAAAACACATACGTGCTGCCTTTTGCAATTGCCTGTTTCATAGGGGGTCGCAATTCTTACGTGAGGTATGATCTGTGGGAATTATAGACTCAATCTGTCATTAAAATAGCGTTCTGTTATTGCCAACTAATAGGATTTGGCATTGGTTTATAAAACGAAATTCCGAGATTTACGGCACGCACACATTCCTAGACTCGTTCATTTCTCGTTAATGTGTAACTACTATTTGCATTATTTATGAGGACTTTACACACCTATCTGCATATCAGACGAGTTCACATCCAACTATCATCTTAATATCAAACCCACATACTCACTCAGTCTTCACGCGACGACGATTGATCGATAGGTATCGTTGTAGTTGATGTAAACGCACTACAAGAGCCAAGTACACAAAGGCACAAAATGGCGCCGGATTTCTCGTTAATGATTGACTAGTACGACACAGCCAAAGACAGACAAACAATCGTCTTATTCGACTGTTTGTCTAAGGCCTGATAATATAATTCCTTGTACATATTCGTACAAAGGTGTAACAATCCCTAATTTCGAATGTAGCACTGCGTCGACATTTCTACCGTTTGGGCTCATTATTCGTCACTTTTACCTGGTAAGTCAAATTTTAAATCATATTTTTGATTGATCATGATTATGAAAATCTGCATTTGATAATAAATCATGTGGACGTGCCGTCAATATTTCCGCCCTTGCGAAAAATGTATGGCCAGCGACTATCGATTATCATGTCGTTTCTACTAATGAGGGACAGAAGAATCACTAGAGTGCTTGGAAACCCACGTCATGAATTACAATTCTGTGAATATTTGTCATTATGATAGTTCGAAATATCAGTTTGTAACAAGAACATTATTCAGCCCAATTGACACTGGTTGCAAATGAAAGGTTAAGCATATATCCATAAGTCCGGCCCGCCAGAGGTTAGGAACCCAATTATATTGTAAAGTCTCACCTGTGTAGACCCTATGCATTAAACACGCAAGTGTTGTAAAATAGGCAGTACATAAAAACTACTTTTATATATATATATATGTATATGTTTGTATATAAAAGTGATGGAATGTAATTTTCTTTCCCTACATTTATATGTTTTCAGAAATATTACCAAGATGAACACGTTAATAACCACACTCCTTCTCTTCACCTTCCTCGGTAAGTCAAATAATAATTGTATTTTTATTCACATGTTTACACTCGGGTAAAATCATGCATGTCTGGAGATAGAAGAAGTAGTATTAAGTATAAGTAATAGTAGTAGTAGTAGTAGTAGTAGTAGTAGTAGTAGTAGTAGAAGTAGTAGTAGTAGTAGTAGTAGTAGTAGTAGTAGAAGTAGTAGTAGTAGTAGTAGTAGTAGTAGTAGTAGTAGTAGAAGTAGTAGTAGTAGTAGTAGTAGAAGTAGTAGTAGTAGTAGTAGTAGTAGTTGCAGTAGTAGTAGTAGTAGTAGTTGCAGTAGTAGTAGTAGTGGTAGTTGTAGTAGTAGTAGTATTTGTACTAGTTGTAGTAGTTGTAGTAGTAGTATTATACAAGAGTAGATATCAATGGTAGTAGTAATAATAGTAGATAGCAATAGAAGTAGCATAAGTAGTAGTAGTACATAGTAGTAGTACAAGTTGTAGTAGAAGTAGTAGCAATAGTAGTAAAAATGAAGAAGATGATGATGATAAATTGTCTTGGCAAAGGACGGTAGTAGTAGCACCAATGGTAAAGATGAAGAAAAAGATGATGATGATGATAATAATAATAATGTAATTATAATAATGATACTACTTATAATAATAAGTATGATGATGGTGATGATTATGTAGATTAATGTATTGCCAAATGACGGTAGTAGCAATGATAGTATTAATGGTAATGATGAAGATACAGTAATGATGATAATAATAATAATGTAAATACTAATAATGATACTACTACTAATAATAAGTATGATGATGTTAATGATCATGTAAATTAATGTTTTTCTGTAGTAGCATTACTAATGGTAAGGATGAAGATGTTAATGAAGACGATGATAATAATGTAATGCTAATAATAAACTACTACTACTAAGAAATACGATGATGGTGATGATAATATTAATAGTAATGATGAAGATAGTAATGATGATGATAATCATAATGTTATACTAATAATGATACTACTACTAATAATAAGTATGATGATGTTAATGATCATGTAAATTAATGTTTTTCTGTAGTAGTATTACTAATGGTAAGGATGAAGATGTTAATGAAGACGATGATAATAATGAAATGCTAATAATAAACTACTACTACTAAGAAATATGATGATGGTGATGATAATATTAATAGTAATGATGAAGATAGTAATGATGATGATAATCATAATGTTATACTAATAATGATACTACTAATAATACGTATGGTCATGGTGGTGATTGTGTAGATTGATGTCTTGTCAAAGGACGGTAGTAGTAGTAGTAGTAGTAGTAGTAGTAGTAGTAGTACTAATGATGATGATGATGAAGATGGTGGTTACGATATTGATGTAGATTATTTTTCTTGCCAAAGGACTGAAATTCAAACCCTCGATCCTCGGATTGAGAGTCCAGTAAATGAACCACCTTACGACACCTCCATCTTGATCTCGTGATTATTCTCTTTGGATATACAGGTGTTTCGTCAGCCTACTTCTGTTGGGATTGTTCTAGTGATGACTTTCAAGACGGAGCAACCTGCGCCGACCCATTCGCGAAGGCCGACTCTGATCTCATTAAGAGACAGTGCTCAGGAGATTGCTTCGTAAGTCACTATGGGTGGTATTCTCGAAAGCGGACTAACTTTAGTCCATGGTTTAACTTTAATCCACCGACTAAGTGTGGAATGCCAAGTGTCCATATGAATAATTTGATATGTCCCTAAAATACCATGATAACATAATTATATCATAGTAATATTGTTGTTTATTCATTATGTTATTACATTTTATTTAAATTTAGTGACAGATTAAATTATTCAAAAACATATTCATATGGACACTTGGCATTCCATACTTAGTCGATGGATTTAACCATGGACTAAAGTTAGTCTGCTTTCGAGAATACCACCCTAGATTATTAACTCTAATTTGCCACACAAATAATTGTTTATTGCCACTTGGTCTACCACCAGGTCATGTACTACCCAATTGGTCTATTCTCATCTGGTCTACACCCAGTTCGTCTATTTTCAACATGGTCTAATAAACATTTTAAGCATATATATAATACATGTTATAATAATCATAATTGGGTAGACGAATTGGGCATTAGACAAACTGGGAATAAGACTATAGCTGGTTATTAGACTAAATGAACAATACACCAAATGAACTATATGGTAATAGACCAATTAAACGGTTTTTTCTTCTTTTCATTTTGATCAGTCATAACATTTCAAAGTATAGATCCATTATTGTACCTACTACTTAATCAACCGTTCCCCAGTGCTTTTAGGCACCAGAGACAGTTTCTCTTACATTGTATTTGTAATTGCATGGCCAATACACAACTTTAGTGTTATAGGATTGTTACCATCAATTCGTAGAAAATCTAATAACAAACAAAGAACTCGGGTTATTCTTTTATCATTCCATCATACTCCACTGCCCGGTATTTTTCATTGTAATCTGGTAATAAAGTACTTGATTCACAGATAGGCATTCCAAACCTATGGATTATTTAACTCCCTCACTGAGAAATAACGATTGTCACCAAATTCCTGCTCTCTTCTGTTTTGTTTTTTTCAGAAAGAGGTCATAACTTTTGGAGACGGTGGCGTACAGTACCGACGAGGTTGTGACGCATGTACAAAAGGGTGCTCAACTGTCGGAACAACAAGAACATGCCGAGAGTGTTGCTTAGGGCAACTCTGCAATAGCGCCGACAACGTTCACGTCAACCAAGTGGCCGCGATAGTTACGTCATGTTTGGCCACCCTCTACTATTTTCTTTAACAATGTAATGTAGATTCCTTTTTATTTCTTCCATATTCTAATGCAATAGAGTATACAACTTTTGATTAACGAGGAAACGTATCTTTCCTCCTGTGTTTGAACTTTTGTAACAATACTGCCATGGGAGCGGGGAGGGGGTCACTGAGGGCGCTTTCTATATATATATCAACTAGTGTCCCTTTATAAAGAAACAGTAAAATCAACATTCATTTTCTGAAAGTTTTTAACAATTTTAGAAATATAATTTATGAATAAACAAATGAGGTATAGAAAATAAGCTTCTACCACCTTACTGTCAGAACATGAAACGACGGATGCTGGAAAATGAAGTGCCAGTAAATAATATAGCTTATTTCAAAATTCCGAGGTGGAGGAGGGCTGTACCCCCCCCCCCCCCGCCCCCCATACCCTCCCACCGGCTCCTTCGCTTCTGATGTAAGGGTATCAGCAATGTGGTACGTACATAACTTTTCTCGTCATTTGCTCATCTTAATAGTGACATCTGCACTAAAAAAAAAACACGAGCTACACTTTACAATTTAAAATGATCCTTTATGTTTGTGTTCTTATCGACAATTTGAATTTGAATACAAGAATATCGTACATAGTTTTTAAAATATTCTTGCTGCTTTTAGGGTGTAGGTGCAAAAAAATAAATATATCATACGCTTTTTGCTTTCGAACTACGAATTTGAATTCTGTACTATAAGTCCACATTCTGTGCTAACTTAAAATAGCGCCATGGAAATATTAATTTACTAACGACCCTCTGTACATTTAACGTGAAGTTTTCAGCTTTGTATTTCTGTCATTAAATAAGAATTAAGTATATTAAAGATGAAGTTGAGTTCCGGTCATGCGATTGCATTGTGAAAGAAAGGGTGTGGAACCGACCAGAAAAGGTTGATCATCTAGCATATTAGAATTTGTGTGTATTGCAAGGTTCTGGAATCATCAAAATGATAAGAAATGTGGCCAAGTCTTGGTAAAGTTACAAACACTTGCACAGAAACATGTATATGGGACTACACGAACACGTGGCGTAAAAAGCCGGCCCCCCGATTTTTACGATGTTACATGCATATGTAGAATATGAAGGCATTTGAAGAGCCATGCTTTTCAAGGAACATGTCTTAACTGATTTTCTTCCACACTTGCATAATAAGAATGAGTAATGCTCACAAATTATTTTTCAACTCTTCCCAGAACTCAACCTTCTCTTTAAAGGTACTATGTCCCTTTTGCAGCCAACCTCGAATTCTGTAGAACTTTGCAGGAGTTATGAATATGTCATGTATGTCCTATCTGTGAAATTTAAACGTTAGCAGTGTCCTCATATTCAAATTATGCAATGAAACCCGTTTACTTGCTAGATTTCACTGTCAGACACTATTGAGTGACTGACTGGCTTTTTTCTTCTTTGGTAATAACATACATGAAAAGAGTTGCAAAGGGTACATGAGCATTTGTCTACATCAATAACCCACTACAATTGTCTGAAAATCAAGACTATTACTTTTTGGCTCAATAGCCCTAAAGTCGATTTGACAACTAATAGTCGTTATTTTCCCACTTGAAGACATTTTCAAGCCTCACCTTTTTTAGGGAAGTTCTAAATTAGTATTATCTTTCAAATGTAGTTGGAATAACTTTTTCATTTTTTGGCCTGCAAATGGGACATTGTACCTTTAATCACTGGTACATTTACAATAAAGTTGTCTTTGTTTGAACATGAATACTAGGTAGGCTATGTATCGTCTCCATGGCTTAAATGCCTGTACGATTGACTTTTCTATCCATTATAGTTAATTAAGCTTTTTCGCATTCTGAGTTTGAAGACTGTACTTATTGAGATTTTAAAGAGATACCACTGCTTTGCTATTTGTTTACAAAAGAACGTTTGTTGTATGTAGTCTTGTTGCATAATCTAAGCAAAAGTTGAACTTTGATTGTGTAAATACTTTTCATATCCTGAAGATGATTCACCTTAATTTCGATGTAAATATTCAGGTTTTGTATGAGTCAATGAAATAAAGCGTCATCTATTTACAAATTTCTTTCTTATTTGACTAGACTTAATCATACATTTGAAATATATTTCGTTGCGCTTTGAACGAATAGCACGTGGAGTTTGGGGTCCTTCTAGAAAAAGTTGAGTTCCGGCCATGCGATTGCATTGTAAAAGAAACGGTGTGGAATCGATACGAGAAAGATGGTTATGTTGCATGATGTATTGGTGTTGGTACTGCAAGGTTCTTGAATCATCGAAATGATAAGAAATTTGGCCCAGTCTTGGTAAAAGTAACAAGCACTGTACACAGAAAGAAGTATGGGACTACGCAATCATGTGGCATAACAATGAGATCTTTATTTTTAAGCCGTTACTTGCCATATTAATAATAATAATAGCTCACATTTATAATGCGGCTAATACTACGTTTCTAGGCGCGGAACATATTATTACCCCGGTCATCGGATCCAGGCTTACCCGCACACAAGGTATGCACATTCTCCACTCCCTGGGGAGCATTCCAGCCAGTCGCCATTTTACAAGCGCCACTTGCTAATCAAACCACATTAGCTTTCGCATCCTACCGGGTACCCATTTTAACACCTGGGTGGAGAGTGGCAAATGTAGATCAATGTCTTGCCAAAGGACATTAGTGCCGCGGCGGGACTTGAACCGCGGACCTTGTGATCCACAGTCCGGTGACATATCCACTCGACCACGACACCTCTACCATTGAGAATATGAAGGCAATTGAAGAGCAATGCTTTTAAGGAAAAAAGAGTTCTTCCACACTTGCATAATAACAATGAAAACGCTCACAAATAAAAATTATTGTTCACCTTTCCTCAAAACGCAACGGTCTCTTTATCTTAGGAAAACTGTGGGGGTATATTAATTCGCCAGACCGCCTTTTCATCTATCTTCGGCTGTCTTTCGCTCTCTCTTTCTTTCTCTCTCTCTATCTCTCTCTCTCTCTCTCTCTATCTATATCATTAATCTCTCTCTCTCTCTCTCTCTCTCAATGTTTACCCCTCTCTTTGTCTCTTTCCAGTCTCTGCATATCATCTCTCTGCTCTCTCTCTCTCTCTCTCTCTCTCTTTATCTCTCTCTCTCTCTCTCTCTCTCTCTCTCTATCTATCTCTCTATCTCTCTTTATCTCTCTCTCTCTCTCTCTCTCTCTCTCTCTCTCTCTCTCTCTCTCAACATTTAGTCTAGTTTAGGCATCCATGCATCCATGCACGGGTTTTTCCCATACTAACGTCCCTTTATTATTACGTGAGTAAAAGAAGAAGAACAAAAAAGACACAATTGACTGCAAAGAATGTAAATATGAACTACTTTATTGCATTACTATATTGCTACTGTGCAGCTTTCCATAGCCGTTTTGTCAAACACTTTGGTCGCATGAATATACAAATAAATTTAACCTATACTATATACAATATGATACAAAAGCAATATCTTTTCCTAAAAACTGTTGTTGAACTTATATATATCTCAGCCCTTGATAATAATAATAATAATAATTTGTTCTTTTATAGCGCATTTTATGTCTATTGACATTTCAATGCGCTTTACAATTTTACAAGGGGTCTGTCTGAAATCTATATTAACCTATTGGATAGTTGTAATACCCATATGCTTAATTCAGGAACCGACCAGTTCCAGGGGTCAAGGGGTTAATATCAGAATCAATCATCATTCGAATTAATTAAACCTTTGTCGGCATCCTTGCTTTGTCTGGCACTTATACGAAATGTGTTGTTTTATGTATTTTGTTAATTAAATAATAGTAAGACGTTGCAATTAACGGTGAATATGATATATATATATGTATTACGGACATTAATTACGCTTTGAAAACAAAATAATTAAACCCCCACTGTACTAGTAGTAGCTACTTGCGCCCGCTATATAGCAAACAATGCCTAATCGGTGCCTCTTGGTCCCCCATGATCCCCTCTTTTTATGTTAATTGAGAGCTGAGTTGATGAGATAACCACCTGTCAGTGACGTTGCAGGAAGGTCTAATCCCCCTAGCCAAACTTGTACAGACGGCCTTTAAAATAAAGGATTTTCTATGTAATTCATATAACTTTTTTTTTAAAACAACATGCGGATGCTATTGGGCAGTGGGGTCAACAAAATGATGTTCCCTGAATAGCAGATTCTTTCTGCCAATTATCAGAACCTTATCCTACATGCATACATGGAAACAATCAAGGAAATTTGGCATATCACGGTATTCCACAGGGTCGTTGCATGTATTCGAACATTGAGGGGGGGGGGGCTTTGATCTCTCGAGGGATGTCGACGGTTAGGGGGCGTCACCAGTCTTATACGATTGGTCAACAACTTCACGAATTTTCTCTTTTCTTTCTCTTTTTGATTTACAAGTTGGGAAGGGCATGTGCCCCCTACCCCATCTACGCCACTGTTATTAAAGAAGAGGTTGTATTTTCATTAAGCATTTAGGCCCAGAAAGGGTCCACAACTAGTTCCTGGTCATCAACAGAGGGCGGCTTATCGAATGTTCGCTTGTTTCGTGGATTTGACTCGGTTAGTGGCCCATCTTTGTTTCCTTTGCGGCGAAGTTTCCTGTGGCAAGAATAAAAAGAAAAGGGCGATTTGATATACATAAACATAGGAACTAAATTACCATGAATAGACCGTGACATTTTGATGAATGAACTTTGTCTCATGCTTTTGATAATAAATGTCATCGATAAGTTAATAGGGCTGTTCTTTTCTCATAACATTGTTATTTTAGCAAGACTGCAAAAGCATTCAGTTTCAGAGAACGAACAAAATAAAAACGATGCTGACCTTTAGTGTAAGTACCAAGTTGTAACGAGGCGCTTAACAAAGATTTAATCGAAATTAAATTGTCCTAGAGCTCAGTTGGTATAGAGCAGTGGTCTCGTAATCCGGCGACCCGGGTTCGAAACCAAGGCGATGCGCTAGTGCCCTTTGGTAAGGCATTAATCCTCATTACCGTTGGTCCTCTGGTTGCTTACTAACAAGCCTGTATGTTTTCTTAGCAGTCAGGTTAAATAACCACTTCTACAAATTTAAAGACCGTCAATACTACTGGACCAGAGGGGATTAGACCACACAGCGAGGTCACTGACAGGTGGCTATCTCATTAACTCAGCTCTCAACTAACATAAGAAAAAGAGGATCATGGGGGGACCAACAAGCACCGATTGGGGAAGTTTTCTATATAGAGGGAGCAAGTAGCTACAAGTAAGACAGTAGGGCTTTAAAAAAGACAACTTACTTTGGCAGACATGAGCAGAAGCACAGAGCGTCCATGAAGAGGTTGTAATATTTCTTGCAGGCTCGTTTGAGTTTCTTGAGACAAGGGAAGGTATCTTCCTCGCAGTAAGTACACATGAACACAGCCGCCATACAGCAGCCCGTGATTGCTCCGATCATGATGCAGATGTTATAGAACTCCTGCATTCTGCAATAAAACATTGTAATAATGATGGTGATGGTAATAGACAATAATGATGATGATGATGATAATAATAACAACAATAATAATGATGATAATAATGATAGTAATACTACTAATGGTAATAATGATGATGATGATGATCATAACACCAATAATGATAGTAATAATATTTGATTTGATTTGATTTGATTTATTGGTTTCTGCATCTTTTTTTTCTTCTTTTTTTCATCATACATTTTCATGAACATAATATGGTTTGATATAATATTTTAAGTGTATATAATTTTATACAGATAATGAACGAATTTAAACAAATATATTGAATGCATAATTAACATACATTAGATGCAGGAGGGCTACAGAAATAAGCAAAGTAGCTTGACGTGCCCGCAGCCCTTAACTTAGATACAACAACAATAACAAATACAAATAGAAAAGACTGACTTGCAGAGAAGAAAAGGAAAGGGGAGAGAAGGAGCGTTGGTAATACACAATAAATCTCGTACATCTGCTGATTGAATGCAGGTTCATTCATAAAATGGCTAAACGATGCTAGGTCATGGACGAGTACACATCATTATTGAAGATACAGTCACTGTACACACGAACATGAATACAGTGCAATATTAAGAACATATCTACTGATAATGACAATGATAGCAATAAAAAGAGACAGAGAGAGGTCTAGCGGGTGAATTGGAGAAGAGAGAAGGAGAGAAAAAGGTGGAATTAAGAGAAAAAGAGAGAAAGAATACAAGTGAGAAATGAAAATGTGAGAAAATAGAAGAAGAGAAAAGTAGCGAAAGCGAGGAGGAGAGAAAGAGAAGAGAGAGAGAGAGAGTGTGAGAAAGATATATACGGGGGTAATTAGCTTCAAACTTACTTTTCTGCACTTTTCGCTGCCTCGTCTTTACAGCAAGAATGAAAATTGCCCGATTCATCTGGGCGATCATTGTAACAGCATTGATTAAATTCATTATCTGTCCCGTCGTCCAAAGTATCGGGACATTCGTAGCTGTTCCCCGCCGCAGTCTCGGGCAGCTCGGTGTCGATGGCACACGTCGTCGCAGACACTGAAGAAAACAGAAAATGGTGATTTATATATATGCGAAGGATATGAAACCTGACTTGAGTTCGCAGAGAACTTACCTGAGTTGAAATTTGCAAAAGGTAAGACATTTATATCATAATGATAATAATAATAATACTCAGTTCTTGTGTAGCTGTGCATATCACATTACATATGCGCTGGCAGCCGCTATCAGCGCACATTGTAATTCAAGGAATAATCCTACTAGGTATCCATTTACCTTACCTGGGTCGAGTGTGGCAAATGTAGATTAATGTGTTGCTAAATGAAATTAGTGCCGCGGCGGGACTCGAACCGCGGACTTTTGTGATCCACAGCCCAGTGTGACATATCCACTCGACCACAACACCTCTTATTTATCATCAATAGTGATCTGTTAGTGTATGAGAGGTTCAGTGACCCATTCAAAATTCTATATCAAGTGTCTCTCCAAGTTTCTCTCCAAGTTCCTCGGTACTGATTGGAATAAAAGTTGATAACAAAAATATCATCCATACTTATTTTTGGTGATCTTCCACTGGCAATATACATGGGCTTTGGAAACAGGGAGGCTAAGGACTGCAGATTATATTTGTTATGTAGCCACCCCCTTCCCGGCTCTTTGAAAATACCAATATTGGGGCAATTTTCACGTCATATTCCAACAACCGCAACTTGTTATTGTATCAGAACAGTGCTCAGTTATTTTATTATTTTAATGACGAATTTTCACTACTGAAAGCATGTCTTTAACTTAGCTCGCTCGCTTCGCTTTCTCGCAAAGTTTCAATAAGAATGCTTGATGTGCATCAAGGGGCAAGAGACGTCATTGCAGCCGCCTGAGAAAATGAGGCCCTAAACACTTTGACCCGAATTCACAAAGGAGGTTTTTTTCGACAAACCTAGGTTTATGTGCGTCATAATTATGACGCGTTTCAACGCGTTTTAAACCGCATTTGTGAATAAGCTAAGCTTGTTAAAGATACTATGTTCCTTTTGCAGCCAACCTCAAATTATATAGAACTTTGCAGGAATTATGAATATGTTATGTATGTCCTTTCTGTGAAATTTAAACATTAGTAGTGTCCTAATATTCAAATTATGCAAGGAAACCCGTTTACTTGCTAGACTTCACTGGCAGACACTATTGAGTGACTGACTGGCTTTTTTCTTCTTTGGTAATAACATACATAAAATGAGCTTTAAAGGGATGAGCATTTGTCTACATCAATAACCCACTTCTTGTAATGGCCAAAATTAAACTGATTGAATCTTTGCGTAGCATAAAACGTATGACCATTCGGTACAATGGTGTGAAAATCAAGACTATTACTTATTGGCTCTATAGCTTCTAAGTCGATTCGACAACTAACAGTCGGTATTTTCCCACTTAAAGACATTTTCAAGCCCCCCTTTTTCAAGGAAGTTCTAAATTAGTGTTATCTTTCAAATGCCGTTGGAATTTAACCTTTCCATTTCTGTTGGCCTGCAAATGGGACAAAGTATTTTTAAGTGATGTCGCTATTTGATTATAATACCTTAATATAATTGTCGCTTAAAAATAACAAAAAATTAACGTACTGGTCAGAATAAAAATGTAATAATAATATTCGACATGATAAACTTGAAACGGAGTTAACACAAGTGGCCCACATTCATGGAAGTGGTTTAATAATCTCATCTGGAATGCATTATCTTGTATAAATTGATAGTTATGCAGTAAGGCCTATATATTTCTTATATCAGTTTCTGTTTAGATCCCTCTGTCCCCCCCCCCCCCCTCCTCCTCACAAATTGTTCAAAATCCTCAATTTTTTTTCATTTCATTTGGAACCTTTTCGATATTCAATCAAATTCTTTACAGCATAACGTCAACATTCTAAAGTGCACAGTCTTGATAACAAACATTTCACTACTTAATTTCAGGAAATTAAGTGAGTTATACAGAAATATTATGAAGTGAATACAAGTCTAAACAAAGAAATGCGTGGTCTGAAATAACAAAATAAAAAGAAGGGCAGCAAAGGGCCAATTTTGAAATAAGGAACATGCACGACTTACCATTACTAATGCTTACAACCAACACAAGGAACCATCCAAACAAAGTTTCTTTTCTAATTCTCGCCATAGTGAGTTCGTCAAATGCTTTCTTTGATTCGGGAAATCTGTGAAAAATACTGCATTCAAAATGAATGTACGTTTGTGCCTGTGCTCTGCTCTGGTCTTCTTGTTGGTTTCTTGCGACAGTTTATCTTCTTTTCCCCCTCTTTCGATATCAACAGAAGAACTACATAGGACTACGGAGGTATAATTTCTCAAAATGGCGACTGCGTGTTCTTGTTTAGCAATATTATTTTGTAAAGGTAAAGAACTACAAAAGACAGCTTAGGCAAAATCGATGAA